ACTGTACCACGAATGCTCCTATCTCCGACACTTCACACAAAAAATAACTCTTGCACGCCTTGCGTGCCTATGTTATCAAAATGTCATTTACACAGCTGGAAAATCATTCTTAGTTATGTGGCCGTGATTTTGCAAATGAAAGACTTTTGCTCTTCCAAATTAACAAAATTACCCAAAATAGCGTGACCTAGTCCCTTTAAGACCCAAAAGATACGGTTCGAACCAAAAGACTAAACGTAATCTATTAAAGGAGTTATGAAGCTAACTTATCAATCAGATGACAAAGCGTGTAAAAGAGAAGGAAAACAGCAAAAATTACAAAATCGCATCGTGCAATAATTTTAGATTGACTGAATTTTTGGCTTGAGACCAGTGGTCCTGCGACTAAATGTTTCGGGAATTGAAATCAGTAATCTTTATTTTCCGAGCTTTAAGTAAGAATGAAAGATAATATAAAATTCCCACGATCTCTGCCCCGAATCTGACTTTCAAATTTTGTGTTACGGGAGTTGGTCTTGGACAAAGAGTGTGACAGTCAACATGCCGGAAGGTAAATTAACCTGGTGTATGCAGCCTGAAGGATTTTCCCGTAATTTAAAACAGTGGGAAATGATAGTCGGGCGTTTCAGTTCGCAGAGAAAGATTTTCTATTTTACCTTACATAAAGCGCAGAGTACTGATAGCCGAGGATGCAGGGAGGGTCGGTGTCTACGTTTGCATTCATTTTTTTTATGTGAAGCCAATTGGATCACTATTGTTACACACTGGGAAATTGAGGATTAAAATAACGAAGGATAAAATCGCGCGATGAAATAAAATGTTACTCTTTTTAATAAAATAAATAAAATATACTCACCTTGCCTGGTTTCTGTTGTTGTCCATTTGGCACATCGCTTTTTTAGGGGGGGCGGGGGGGTTGAGGTGTTTGTCGCAGCTTTCTCGACACGCGTGCATAAATCATTAATATTATATCGATTCCCCGAATCGTGAGATATTTCAACGGATAGTAACTGAGACAGATTCA